ATTGATATACAAATGCAAGCTCAAGTAGATCCAATTGAAGAGCCTGATATTACCGAAATAGATATTGTAGAAAATGTGAATATAGAAGCATTATTGATATTCTCAAATTTATAATGCCAAAATTAATTGAAAAAAAAATTTTTATTTTTCCAAATATTAGTATTCAAATCTCAGAAGATGGATGTAATGTAGGATGTAAGGTTAAGCATGTTCTAATTACATTTGCTATTCTTGATGACTTGGCAAATATTTACAAACCTGAACATCATTATACTATTATTCTTTATCCTGGTACTGAAAATTATTATTCTTTAAAAAATACAACAAGACTATTTAATAATGAATTGCACGAACTATCTAATAATAGTATTGTTGTTAATAATATGGAAAGTTACTATCTATTTTAGTAGTGACTGGAAATTTTTATCTCTCTGTCTTGGATTTAATGCGCCAAACTCTATCTATTTTTGTCTGTGGTGCACAATATCTAAAAAAGAACAAGGCAATTTAAATCAAGAATGGACAATTGAAAAAAAATAAAAACATCAAAAATAAATCTAAATGCATATCCTGGACATCGGCAATATCCTTTGTTTGATATGATTCCTCTTGATTATTGGATTGTTGATGAACTTCACCTTATGTTACGGATTACAGATCGGTTATGGGATCTTGTACTTACTGAAATTAAGGCTATTGGATTATTTAATGATACTACAAGAGAAATTATTATAGAAGAAATGAACAAGATTGGCATATGTTTTCAATTTTGGAAAGATGCAAATGATTGGTCAAATACTTCCTTGATGGGTGATGACAAGATAAAGGTTTTACGTGAATTTAATCTTTATGAAATTTTTCCAAGATCACGTGCAAAATTAATTCGTGAATTATGGGACAAATTTTATACTCTATACATTTCACTTCGCAATCATACTACTGATTCATGTCAATTTAAAACTCAAGCAAAAGAATGGTTAGAACTTTTCTTAACACCATCACGAGGTGAAGCAAATTCTAATAATTTTTGTCAAGGTTTATACAAACTGGCTGATATCACACCTTATATACATGTCTTAATTCATCATGTGCATGAATTCATGAACAAGCATAAGAGATGGGGAATGTTAAGTTTTTCTTGTAGTTCTGTTGAAAAAAAAAATTATACACAGGTTTCAATTTTTTTTTGAAAAATGCTAAAGGATAGAGGAAATTCTACCAATAAAAAATCAGCAATCTATGAGATTTTAGAGCATGAAAATCAACGCTTGGTTTATCTACAAAAAGGCACACCTTTAAAATATAAAAAACCCCAATATATTTATATAAAATCTAATGCATTACCACATTCTTAAAAATTTGTATTTGTTATTTTACAAGATGCAATAAAATTTCTTGAGGCTGTTTTATTTTCTTTTTTTGAGCATCACAAATTATGAGCATTAGTATGACCGTTTTGCTTCAATCTCTCAGTAAGTTATAATCTTATTCTACCGTATAATAAAATTTTAATTAATATAGAATTTTTACTAAATTTAACCTTTAGCATTTATAATATAGTAGTGATTTAGACAGAGTAAACTATGCTTAACCAGTTTACCCAGTTGATATAAAGTGGACTCCTAATGAGGGATTTTGGTTAGACAATGTCGAATTAGAAAATATACATAGTCATGGAAACAATTATAGTATGAAGTTTAGATATTCATAGCTCACAAAATTTATTAGGTTCTTCAGCAAAGTAAGTTAAATTTATTTTATTATTTTGGTTCATTCATTTATTTACAAGTTTAAGAATACTGAATCTAAAGTATATAAACTAACTAGAACAAAAATTTTACAAGACATCCTGAATATGGATAACAGTTAAATCCAGGTGTCACCACGAAATTTAATTAAAAAATTATTAAGGTTAGAGCATGTATAGACTAAGGTTAGAAAGTCTTATAGGTAAAAATCTCCCCTGACATTTTTTTTTTCATTTCTTATATTTTACTTTTTTCTTCACAGGGCTTCGTTGGCTATTCCATAAATTTATGGTTTTTGATTGGTCACAGGCAGTTAGATATATTAATTTCGGATTTTGAAAAGAATTTGAAAGATATGCAAATTTCAATCAATATAATATATCTATTATCTGGTGTCAACCATGTATCCTTCAGAAGATGTAATCAGAGTAGATTTTTTTAATAGATTGATAACGTTCAAAAATAGTGAGGGATTACGGTCACAAAAACAATTATACAGAGTGAAGGTTTTTTGGGCGAAATAAATTTATTTATTATGTACAACTTTGTTTTATTTAAAAACTTATTTATTTATTTATTTACAGGTTTAAGTTCAAGACACTAGATATATTAGTTTCTAATTTAAAAAAAACTCAGAAGATGCACAAATTTCAGTCAATATAACACATCTATTGCCTGATGTGACCCTCAGAAGATGTAATCGGTGAACTGGTTAGAAAGCACACGATCTCTGGGTTGAATTGGAAAATATACAGTCATGTAAACAATTATGCATAGTAAGGATTAAATGTTATATAGTTCTGAGCAAGGTAAGTTAAAATTTGCTTTATTATTTATTGCGTACAATTTTGTTTTATTTAAAAACATTCATTTATTTGCAAGTCTAAGGGTAATGAATCTAAAGTATATGAACTAATTCAAGGCACTCTAATAAACGAATATACCAAATCTGATTTTAAAAGGGATTCTGAAGATATGCAACTTGCAGCCAATATAATACATCTATTTCTTGGTGTCAAGTATATGACCCTCAAAACAATGCTAGAAATTTCATATCTTATGAAGACATAATCAGAGTAGACATCGATAATATTCAAAAGATTGATGAAGACCTGGGCTAATGTTTTCAGCAACATAGTTAGATGATAAAGGAATAGTTCTAGGCCGATTTAGAGAATACACATACTATTATTTATAGTTGCGATCAAGGTATTACCTGGCTCACGAACACATGTTTTAAGTAAGTTAAGGCAATTTATTAATGATATAACATTTCTAACAATTCTAACAGTTCCGATTAACTCACCGACAATCATTTCAAAGACGCTATATTTTACCGACAAATTTACAGACAAATTTATTTCGTAGATAGTGTATTTCACTGACAGTTCATTTGGGGCGTCGTCAATCAAAACATAGCTTAGTGAGATTAATCATTTTCCGAAAATTGTTACACAAAATGTAAAAAATTATAATTTTTTTATCATTTAGTGTAACAATTTTCGGAAAATGATCAATCTCACTAAGCTACGTTTTGATTGACGACGCCCATTTCACAGATATCGTAATTCTAATCATCATCATTAGGGTTAGATTTAAAATTAAAATTAAGTTTAGTGCAATTTATAAAAAAAAACTTGTCTGTGAAATTAGCTGTCGGCGAAATATACTGTCTACGAAATGAACTTGTATGTAAATTAATCATCTGTAAAATAAGCTTGTAGATGAAACGAGTGTCGATGAAATGTAGTGATTGTTGTTGAAATGATATGAACCCAAACCTAATTTATTTATTCATTCTATGATAAGGTTCAATTATTGAAGAATACCTCTTCGATTTTATTTTATTAGTGGTAAGTAAAAAATCATTCGTTAATCAATACATTTAAAGCTATTTTAAGTTTATGAATATTTATTATTTCATTTAATTGTATGCATTGATAAGAATTTTAATGAATTGATTTATTTAAAATAAGATTTCAAATTTACAGATATTTAGTACTATGTGATACTCTGATTTTATTTGCCATGACTTTGTTGGTAAGTACAAAAATATAAGCTATTTAATTTCATAAATATTTATTACAATGACTCTTATTTATTCTTGCTAAATAATATAGTATTCAATTTTGTGAATATTTACGGCATTTAGTTTGATGATCGTTTATAACAATGTAGCTATTAAACATTCAAGTGAATCACTTTCTAATCATTTATTATGTCTATTAAATGCATTATGCTCAGAGGATCGTGTATATGCCAAATCAGCGAATGTTCCTTTAGTCTACGAACTGGGATTAGAGCTCTTTAGGAATATCATAGTTTGATCCACAATATATCCCATTCAGAATTATCTTTTAGACGTTCTTTTGAATCAAATCCTTCTTGAATGTGAAAACAAGATTATTGATCATTCTAATATTAAAGTATCGATGGATATGCTACTCGAATTAACTGATACAAGTGCAAAAGATTCAGTTTACGCAACTGATTTTGAAGGACAATTTTTGGAGACTAGTGCTGAATATTATTGAGTTGAGGGTCAAATGCTCATAGGAGAATGTGATGCACCAGAATATATGAAAAAAGTACATTATGATTATCATCGGCTTATATTTTACAAAACTGTCATCATTAATTTGACACTTTTACATTTATTTAGGTTCAAAAACATCTTAATAAAGAAGAATAACGTGTACACCATTACCTTTCACAAACTACAGAACCGAAAATTAGAAGTATTGTAAAGAAGAACTTATTTCTAAACATCTTAAAACCGTTATTGAGGTAATAAACGATATTATATTAAATATTCCGTATTTTCGCAATTCTAACTTTAGTTACTTAGATGGAAAACTCTGGTTTAATTCCTATGCTAAGAAATGAAAAAATGGATGGTAGGAAATTTTTTACATATATTTTGCTTTTACCTTGTTATCATTATTTTAAATTCTCAATTATGCTCTATAATAGATCTCGGAAGAATGTACAAATTATTCGGGCGGGTTGCTAAAGGCCACGAAGAGATGAAAACTGCTATTAGTAATTATATACGTGAGCTCGGTAAGGATATAAATGAAACCGTTTCTAATAGTGCTACAACGGCAACGGCCGCCGAAAGCAATACTACCGGTGATCGACAAACTGGAACTTCCGTAGCAATACGATGGGTGCAAGATGTACTGGATCTTAAAGATAAATTTGATAAAGTTCAGAATTTGGCGTTGTCTAATGATAAAGCATTCCAAACTGCATTTAACGAGGTGATTTGCCAACGAAGTGAAATTTTAATCATATGTGAAAACATCATATTGTTTGTTTATTTATTATATTTCTTTACTTAGGCATTTGAACACTTTATCAATAAAAATTTGAAATCGCCTGAATTCATCTCATTATTTATCGATGACAACCTTAAAAAAGGGTTGAAGGGGGTAAGTATTGACATGTGTTTGTTTATTTCTTTTACATTAAAGTTAATCAATCAATTAAATTAGAAAACTGAAGAAGAAGTAGATAACGTATTAGATAAGACCATTACATTATTCCGTTTCATTGGTGAAAAAGATGTTTTTGAACGATACTATAAACAACATTTGGCCAAACGACTATTACTTGGACGTAGTGTAAGCGATGATGCAGAAAGAGGAATGATCGGTAAACTTAAAGTATGTTAAATACGAATTATACTTTTAATTTGCACATATAAACTATTGATTTTAACAAATATCTTATAATAGATCGAATGTGGATATCAATTCACGACAAAACTTGAAGGAATGTTTAACGACATGAGGATCTCAACAGATACCATGGCAGACTTTAAGGACTATTTGGAAAAATCAGCATTGGAGGTAAAAAACTTTTTTTATTAGTTTTAGTCTCACATGAAATTATTGAATTTTTTGTACGAAGTTAATCTTATCATATTCAGAGGCCTAAATTGGATTTAAGCGTTACCGTTCTTACGTCTACATTCTGGCCTATGAATTTATCCGCAAGTCCACGGTGTAATTTCCCTGCAGAAATAACCAAAGCATGTGATACATTTCAAAGATTTTATCTTGCACGACATAGTGGTCGAAGGTTGACATGGCAGTCCAATATGGTAAGTCAATTTTTTGATTATGTTGACAGTGAATATAGCAATTATACTTATTAATTGAAACACAATTATAGGGAAGTGCAGATATCCGTGCCACTTTTAATGCTCGGAAACATGATATTAATGTATCAACGTATCAAATGGTTATACTTTTAATGTTCAACGATTTGCCAGCTGGCCAAAGCTTGTCATATGAGGTAAAGTGTATTGTAATAATTTGTCCTATCGTCTTTTATTTTACCCTTTTTTTAAAATAAAAGGTTCGATTAAATATTTCATTTATCCGTTGATTATTAGACAATAAAGGGTGAAAGTGACATTCCAGAGGCTGACCTCAAACGTAATCTTCAATCACTAGCGTGCGCTAAGTATAAAATTCTTGTGAAAGAACCTAAAGGGAAAGAAATCGAATCAGGAGACAAATTCTATTTCAATAGTGACTTTACGTGTCAGCTGCAACGCATTAAAATTCAAACAGTAGCCAGTAAAGTTGAAACAGAAGGTGAAAGGAAAGATACGAGAGAAAAGGTTGAAGAGGCCAGGAAACATCAGACAGAAGCTGCAATTGTAAGAATTATGAAAGACAGAAAAACGATGGATCATAATCTTCTAATTGCAGAGGTAACGAAACAACTGCAGCCGCGGTTTGTACCCAATCCAGCAATGATCAAAAAGCGAATTGAGGCATTAATTGAACGTGAATATCTAGAACGAGCGCCGGGTGATAGGTTAGTCTTTACATTCATTATTTAATATCCAATTATTTCACTGGTAGTATCTCAATTTTTTTTTTTGTTATTAGACGTGTCTATAATTATCTCGCATAAGCACATTTGAAAATGGACAATTTATTCTTGAAATAAATGATAGTATATATGGTTTATGATTTCTAGTGATAATTTTAGTTGCGAGTGTTGAGTTCTTGAATTTGCTCATAAAACTACCTTCTTGTCATTCCTTTAATACAATTTTCGTTCATTCGTTTTACTTTTCTCAAGTCTATTGTGTATGTATAGCTTTTATTTTGCAATATTTTTCCTTGAACAAAATACATCTTTCGTAATTTGTAAAAAGAAAAAAAAAAGATTTTTCCTGTTAATAGGGGCTTTAAAAACATTGGGAGTATTAATGAATTTTGATGACATATTGTATTCATTTCTACATTTCGATTGGTGCTACAAATTATTCGGCGGATCATGATCATTTTCATCTGGCTAATTCCTCATGATTCGTTTTTTATTATCTGTTCTTCCTGCACTTCGTTAGTGGTATGAATCTAATCGAAAAGTTAGTCAAGTTGGCAACTGATCGATTTAAAGCTGATTAATCATTAAAAGTTAACTGATAAATATTGAAAAAAGATTTTCCCCGACATGTTGTTTAGGGTAAGGACATGGAGATACGCCGATTCTAACAATATATGAGATAATTCTTCTGGATTATTTAAATTAGAAATTGAAGAAACGTAAGAATTGTACATATCAAAATATGTTGATAAGTACTGGGGTTTGTGTAAATTCTATTTACAGTACAAAATTGAAGAAATTAGTGATGCGACCCAAACTACTGTATTTGGGTCCCAAACCATGTGACAATTAGTACATCATTGTCTTTATTCTTATTGCCGGAACTATGTGATACTAATTATCACATAGTTTGGGATATAAGAAATTATAGCATTTTTATAATTAAACATGAAATTTGGCTACCTTTAATATTTGGCCGCTTTAAACTATTGATTTGGTTTTTATAAGCTATATGTAGTAGTATACTAAAAATTTGGCTATTTTATATACTGTATATAATTAATTAGCTAAAAGTCAAATTGGCCTCATCATATGAGGCGTCGTCAATCAAAATGTACCGTAGTGAGAGTGAAAAAATTGTTATACAAAATTAATCGTAACATGTTATTTGTAACAACTTACTCAATAATAATAAATTATGTCAAACATAATTAACTTCATGTTACAATATTACCAATTTTTTAATCTCACTATTAATTGACAACACCTATACAGACAGTATTTAAAAAATAAAATTTGTACTTACTGTAGGTTCCAAAATTTTATTTATTGGAACTAGGTTGTTTATACTATACAGTATAAAACCAATAAATTATTTCAAGAATATACAATATATGGGCTAGGTGCTAAGAAAAGGGACCAAATTGACTATTTTTTCAAAAGATATTTTTTAATATAAATCAATTTAGAATAAGATTAGAGTCATTTTTTAATTAAAACATAAAAGTAGTTGTATTAATAAAATTTTGCTATATTGCTCTTTAAAGTTTGTACTTTCTTATAATTTATTATAAGATTTACAACATAAAAATTGATTTTCCAAAGATCTTTTGTTTTGACAATTTGGTCCCTTTTCTCAGCACCTAGCCCATATAGTAGTAAATAATAATAATAATAATAATAAAGTATAAATTTTTTTTGAAATATTTATTATATATTAAGATTTGTTTTGGGTTTAGGCTCTATAGCTTAGTGGTTAAGCTGCCAAACCTCCACAATATAAGTTAAGATTCACGGTTTGATTTAGGCTGAAGGTGAAAGAAACTCTGTAACTTTATGATATTAGGAGCTAATAATTGGATATGGAGCTCTGTGAAAAAGCCCAAGTGAAGTATGAATCTAGAATAGAAATTTTCGGAAGGAGATCTAGCTATAGAGAGTTGGTATTATGTGCAGTATTGTAAAAAGTTTTGGGGCAAATAGGTTGCGCATGTAAATCCACGATTGGCAGGGTAGTACCAACAACCCTGGGCAGTCTGGGGATCTTGATTGGAAGGGTAATACTAGTGTGCCAAAGCTGAAGTAATGGGTAATGTGGTGAATATGGTTATGATCTGTGATAAAAGAATTGGTCTAACTAGGCTTGGAACACCTCTGGTGCTATACAAGATTGGAAGTTGCATTAGGTATTGAGTTGTACATTACTAATTTCAGTAATGAGTGCCATGCCGGTACGTTATAAGTCAAGGTTCCAGGCCTCCTTGCATTACCAAGCTGGAAGTAACACAATCGTCAGTAGTATACTCATACTGCAAGTCAATTATACCAACTATGGTAGCACTATAAAAAGCAAGTGGTATACTGCAGAATGACAACTAGAATTTCGATAAATCTGGCTGTGTCCGTTTGGAAAAGGTTTGTGGCTTGAGATACAAATCATGTTATAGCAGCATCCCAAAAAAGATGGCTTGAAATACAAACACGATAGTGGCAGCACAATATTTACTCAAATTAGAGTGGTACTAAATTGAATATAAGGCTATGTAAACCAATTTGAAAGCAATAAGAGCGAAAAACTGCTGGAATAAACCAAACTGGGAGAAAAAAAAAGTTGCTGCAGGAAGCGGATAGGTGGACAAAAGTACCAATAACAATATAGAAGATCTTGTATAGAAATAGGTAGGTTGTATGCCAACTAAGAAGTTAATTGATGGGGTAATAGCCGTTAGTTAAATTCTAAAAATAGTAAAAGTACGACTAAATTGCTAGGGTGGGTGTCATTAAGTAATTAGTATAGCACGACTCCTTCACTATAATATCTAATTGTAATAGTTCTATATTAATTAATAAAGATTTACAGCATATAAGCAATTTAAAAAAAAAAAAAAATTAAGTCTTTTCATTAGGGTTTTTTTTAGTATTAGGTTAGAGTTTAATAGTAGAGTTGTTAGTAAAAAAGTATTTATAAATTTTAGTAGATATTATAAATTTAAATTGAAACCCTAAATTTTAGCATTAGTCAATTTCAACATCAGCTATAACAATTAATTTTTGAAAGCTAATAAAATTAAACCAAAACCAATTAATAAATATATTTACAAGACCCTTTGTCTAGATTAAGAATGATGGATTTCTGTAGTAGTTAAGACTAAATCTTGCATATAGTTAAAACAAATTCAATAATTTAATATAATATATATATATTTTTTGGTGTTAAGGTAACCTCTACGGCCTGGAGACTTTTTATTAAGTAGATATATAACATATTACAGTTATAACGAGAGTATATATAGCTACACGTGCACCTTTTGAGTGCCTAATTTAAGTAGTCCGCCCGAAGGTTCTACACTATCTGCCATACCTGTACCCCAA